TGGCAGTTCAAAACCATCAGCCGCTCCATGGGAGAAAGATGTGGCAGTCTGCTTCCATAGAGATTTACAGCCTCGGAAACCCTATGGGGTTGCTATGAGTGGGAATCAACTAGACTGCAATGGGGTTTTGGCTTTGATCTGCTTATATATACGAGGAAACTGAAGATCCCAGAAATTGAATACTGTGGTCTAGATCACAGAGGAGGGAAGCTATGAGTGTATTCCCAGACGCTGGAATCCTGAGCTAGTATTCTTTCCGTTACACTATATTAACAAATAGTATCCAGAACTTTTCAAATTATTGAAAAATTGAAACCAAAATAAACAACAGTAAACGAAACACCAAAACTCTCTAATAGCTGTTGTCTAGGAGAAGCTTTCCTGCCTTTTGGAATCAATGCTGTGGGCTGTGGTACTGGGGTGGTGATTGTCTCCTTGGGATGTGCCTTCTGTATCCTTTGAGGTGACGACGGCTTTCTGCATTTTTGTTAAGAGCTTGACTGTCTTTTGTTTGTGTTGAATTGTACTGTAGATCATTTTTTGAAGATTATCTAGACTAATCTGTCTTATTAGATAATGCATTCATTCATTCGTTCGTTTATTCGTTCTATAAATATTTACTGAATATCTGTCACATACTAGGCTGCGTTGGGTCATGGGGGTTCTCAGTAGTGTGTGCGTAATGATCGCTCTGAAGAGTTAGAGTCCATGATGGAGCGTCGTCTTAGTCCCCGGTGCTGCTCTAACAGAGTCCTTGATGGGGCGCTGTCTTAGCCGTCTAGTGCTACTCTAACAGAGATACCACAGGCTGATGGCTCTAACAAAGACAAGTTTCTTCTTTCACAGTCTGGTAGGCTACAAGCCTAAATTCAGGGCATCAGCTCCAGGGAAGGCTTTCTCTGTCTTTTGACTCTGGAAGAAGGACCTTGTCATCAGTCTTCCCTGGGTCTGGGAGCAGCTCAGCGCAGGAACCTCAGGTCCAAAGGACGTGCTCTGCTCCCGGCACTGCTTTCTTGGTGGTATGAGGTCCCCAACTCTCTGCTTGCTTCCCTTTCCTTTTATCTCTTGTAAGATAAAAGGTGGTGCAGGCCACACCCCAGGGAAACTCCCTTTACATTGGATCAGGGATGTGACCTTGGTAAGGGTTTCACAATCCCACCCTAATCCTCTTTAACATAAAATTATAATCACCGTAAAATTATAATCACAAAATGGAGGACAACCACTTAATACTGGGAATCATGGCCTAGTCAAATTGATACACACATTGTTTTGGGGACATAGTTCAATCCATGACAGGCAGTTATGAAAGAAGAGGGGAAGGAGGGACTGACAGCCTGGGGAGGAGAGTGTTGGAACAGAACTAGGTAGAGAGATAGCTCATTCAGCAGTGGTCTGGAATTGTTGGCTAAACTTCCTCGGAGATAAATTGGAGTTGGGGTGCCAGTTGGCTCCAGTCTCCACGTGTGATTCCTTACGTAGGTGGTGAAAGACAATTGAGTCTCCTGTTGTAGTAGGCTTGCAGTCAAGTGGAAATTAAAACCTTCAGCCCTGGCTGGTTCCCGCAGGTCTCAGCCTGGCTTTTTGAGATTTGGGCAGTCTAGTTGATTCTGACTCATAACGACCCTATAGGACAAAGTGGAACTGTATCATAGGGTTTCCAAGGCCATAAATCTTTATGGAAGCAGACTGCCACATCTTTCTCTTGCGGAGCGGCTGGTGGGTTCGAACTGCTGACTTTTCGGTTAGCAGCCGAGCACTTAACCACTGCGTCACCAGGGCTCCCTAGCTGTCTATGCCATCGTCTAATAAAAGGCCTGAATTCATTCTCATTTCAGATATGTTACTTTTAACAGTGGTATTCCTTATTATAATATTCCTGAATATAATGCAGTAAACATTCATTCAGCTCGTGAACCAAATTATCAATCTCCTTTCCTTAACATTTGAACTTTCCTCCCCAAATCGGTTTTACTTCTTGTTTCAAAAAACTCTTTAGGCTGAAAAGACACCAGTGGATTCCATTTACAAGTACTTTCTGGGAAACGGTATATGATGTTCTTCTGGAAGGGACAGGTCGCAGGCACGCAAGTGTCATCTCAGACTGTCTGGAAAATCCACTGAAGCTGAGCATGGGCTAGCCAGTTCAGAGTAGTCTGGAAAATTCTTAGAGGAGGTGGAGAGAAAGAGGCAGGCTGTTTGGTTCCTCTTCCCTTGGGTGAACCAGAGTTGCAGAGGTCGATCGGGCGGGGGAATGGGGTTTGCTTGGGATGCTGAGTTTAACTTGAATATCTCCACAACTTATGTTTTGAGCTCTGGGAGGTGTGGAATCTTCTGGTCCAAACCTTTCTGCCCTCAGAGAGGCTTATGGTGTCCTTGAGTTCTGAGGTGAAAGCTGGATGGAAGAGGTTCTTATACCCTGAGCCTTGGACCAAAGGAAAGGCCACCATTTAGCTGGAGGTGGAAACTACTGAGCAGTGGGCTCCTCATGGAGAGGGCTTCCCAACTAGTCCCTTTATAAAGTACCTACTGTTAAAAAGTACCCGTTAGAGATGAAGTGTGGCCAGAGAGCCAACATGAAACCAATTTGCTCAGCTGAATAATTTCATTTTTCAGAGTTATTAGAGCATTTCTAAGGGGCTCCAAACCTGGTTACTTAACAGGTTTATCATGATTATGGCTGATGTTTGTTTGGTGGAACTCTCGTAGTGTTCAGAGCAACCCCAGTTGATCCTCTTAACACCCTTGGTAGGTGTTATCTCCAGGTATTCTGTCCATTTGCCTAAGAGTGATACCAAGACAGAGATTCAGTGGCCAGTTCAAGGTAAACAGAAAGTGGCAGAGTCCAGACCCTAATGCAGGGGGATTTCCAGCTGAGGAAATTCAAGCAGAATTTTAACCGGGTGTTTTCAGGGTAGGAGCCCTGATTGTGCAGTGGTTAAGAGCTCAGCTGCTAACCAAAAGGTCGACAATTCGAATCCACCAGCTGCTCCTTGGAAACCCTATGGGGCAGTTCTACTCTGTCCTATAGGATCACTGTCAGTTGGAGTTGACTCGATGGCATTGAGTTTGGTTTTTCAGTGTAGGGTATCATTATCTATAGAATTCCCACTGCTAAGTACCCGAGCGTTATCTGTGGGGAATAACATAATCTTAAATTACCTCTACAAATTATATATATAAGTTATGAAAAAAAAAAAAAAGAGTAACTTCACAGAGGACCCCCCCCACCCCAGGAAAAAAATTTTTTTTTAATAAAAAATAAAAACTGTAGCTATCCATTACAGACAATTTAAATGATGATAATTAATGCATAGAGATAGCCCAAAGGTAAACACCGCTGTATCATGAATGGTGTACAACAGTGTACAATAAATAGCCCAACAGATTTTCAAATCTAACAAGTTTATAATATTTTTGGAAGGAAATCGAGACCAAGAGAGATTAAGTGACTGGCAGAAGTCACTGAGGTGCTAAATTTGTAGAAGTGGGGGGAGGGAACGGCAGAGGCCACGGGCTCCCTGGGGTCCTCGGTGCCATTGCTGAAACTAGAAGCCAGTCTTCCGACCCCTGGGCCTCAGTTCTTTAATTCTGCTGCTATCCCTAGCAGGGGTAGCAGAATCTGAAGTTCAGGTCTCTGTTATTGCTTCCCTAATGATTCATGGACATTTGTTTATTTGACAGCTATTTCTCGAACACCTCCTGCGGGCCCAGTATTGTGCTTGGGATACAGCACTAAAGAAGGGAGAGGCATGAGCCCCGCGTTCACAGGTTGTTGTCTGGCCTGGGAAATTTCCTTGCCCTGACAGAGTCAGTAAATGGTGTTTACCTCTGGGTTCTCTGTGCACGCTAATTATTGTCATTTCAATTATTTGTAATGGATAATGACAGTTTTGGTTTTTTTAGTAAGAAAAAGTCTGAAATGTTAGAAGAGGATTTTGTTTTGTTCTCTGTGAAATTGTTATTTTTTTCTTTCATAATTTCTAAGTAATTTGTAGAGATGATTTGAGATTTTGTAAGTATCCGTTCCTCATCAGACTCACCCACATCATTCCTTCTGTATTTGTTTGCATTCTAGAATGCAAGAGCTATCCCTTCTCCCCCATTGTATAGCAGCAGGGATTCACGTTCTTTTTTTATTCAGTGGGTTATGATGTGGTACTTTGATGCTCAGATTATCCCCGATTTGTCTCGTGGCAGCCCTTCCGAGCCGGCCTTGTTGTCCTTTGCATACCTCTTCATGATTCTTTGAGTACTTACGTATGTTGTGGTGCAAGATGATGTTCAGGCCCGTCGTGTACTTTCTCTGCCCCAACCTTGGAATCAGCCATTTCTCCAAGGGGTGCTGGTTCCTTTGAGGGGAGAATGGTATTAAGAAACCAAGATCTGGAGTGCTGCCTGCTACCTATGTGTCACCGCTTCTAGGCCCTCGGTGGACAAAGCTAAAGAATGCGTGTGTGCGTGTGCATGTGTGCGAAAGCACATATCTGACCTTTTTCTGTGCCTCTGTATAGGCAGTCCCCAACTTACGATGTATTCTAGTTACAACGAGCCACATTTGTGACATCTGTTTTTTTCTTTTTATGCATCTTACCATTAGTTATGTGTATGTATTAAAATATATCTGTAACTTTTGTGTAATGTTTCCAATCTCCAAAGACAAATAAAGATCAGATTTATAAAGATACTGATAATAAAAGACAATAATAATGAAAACTTAAGAAAAAAGAGTGAGATGCTCGACTTGCGTCAGAACCAACTTGCGATGGAGTTGTCGGAATGGAACCCCGTCGTAAGTCGGGGACTACCTGTATATTTAAAATGTAGATTTTTTAAAAAAAATCCATGGAGGTAGGATTCGAAGTAGACACAAATGTGTGCAGTTTTGGATCTATGTAACGCCTCTTTCCTCTTAATTTTTAACAGGTGGCTAAACCCCTTGTTTAAAATCGGTCACAAACGGAGATTAGAGGAAGATGATATGTATTCAGTGCTTCCTGAAGATCGCTCAGAGCACCTTGGAGAAGAGCTGCAAGGGTAAGCAAGAGGTAGCGAGGAAAAGGGTAAGGAAGAGTGAGAATTTCTTTGTATGTAGCTAATGGCTTGGAATGGTTTTTGCCTTCCTGGGTCTTCTGCCTCCTTTTGGGCCCTTCCGGAGACTAGTTCCCCTAGAATTCCACACTCATTTCCACTTGGGCTGTATCTAGGCCCAACCAACCTACGTGACCTGGGGGAAGCCTGCATTTTATACAGCCAGTATCGAAGGCCCCGCACACTGAGAATTTGTCCCAGGGAGATGGTATCACTGGAGGATATTGCCTGGCTTGTCTGTACTACACTCTGCCTTTTGGGGATACTCTGGTGCTGTAAATCATGTAGAACTCTGCAGTGACTTGTTTCCAGGGACCGGAGACCTCCCTTCAAGACCTGTTTTTCTGATGCTACAGATTCCACATGGTGCATCTTTCAGGCGCCCTGCAGACAATTAGCGTGCGTTTATGGAACAGTCACTACGTACCCCGTAATGAACGCGTATCTGTCACTCAGCTACCTCCCCCGTTTTACCACATGGCAGGGCATTCTGTTCTCTACTGTGCTTTGTTTCTCATTGCAGGTACTGGGATAAAGAAGTTTTAACAGCTGAGAAAGATGCACAGAAGCCTTCTTTAATAAAAGCAATCATAAAGTGTTACTGGAAATCTTATTTGGTTTTGGGAATTTTTACATTAATTGAGGTAACAGCTTTTCCATCCAGTGAATTCTTTTTTAGTTACACACGCAGTAAAAGTGCTAGCTGGAGTTGGTATTAAAATAGATGGAGACTCTCTGTGAGAGAGGATGCCAGATAGGGGTTGGAAGTATTTTAAGGTTCTAGCATAAAACATGTCCAGGAAGCACGATCGAGTTCAGCAGTTGTGTTTATCTTTGGAATGGGCAAATACTTAAAAGAATCTAATGACTGCAGCTCAGAAGGGATTATTATTTTTTCAACCAATTAAAATATAGTGTTGTGAAAGGGAGAGCACTGAACATAAAAGGAACTTTATGCCACGTTAGGACATTGTTGGTGCTCAGTAAATACTATAAATGCTAAGAGTAATCCTTGACCAAAAGATCTGTAACATCAAGGAATGAATACCTGTCCTGTGGTTTGGAGGAAGTAAATTTGGACCAGAGCCTGGAATAATATAGGACACCTTACAAGCGCTCACGAAGTAGCTGTTAAGTTGACCAGGCCAAATCTGATAAATGCTTTCCCAAGAAGATACTGTCACATCTTTTCTCCCAGGGATACAGAACCTGGGGCACTGTGCCCGGGCTGGCTGTGGTATTGCAGAGGCTGGAGATGGCTGGAGCTCTCAGGAGCACACGCTTCTTCAGGCTGTACGCTTCAGTGCTTGGCACTGGGAGCTGCTCCCTTCTCTGTGGAGGAAGTCCTGGCTTCCCCATGAATTCCGGTCAGTCTTGAACTTCGTGCACCACCCATTCTGGTTTCTTGTCTTTGGTTGTTCGGGTGGATTGCTGGTGGGAAGCTGGGCTGTTGGTAGCCTGGCGTTGGAGAGAGTGTAGAAGTGAATGTGCAAAGGAAAACTGAAGGCAGAAAGCCATGAGGTCAGTGACCTCTGTTACTTTGAAGGGCTTCTATCATGGCCCTCCAGCAAGACAGTGTTCTTCCTGGGGGCACAGTGCCAATTAGCATACCAGTTTGAGTCTGTGCTCTGCTGGAGGAGATGCCAAAAATCCTCCTAGGTGTCTTGTACTCTTCATGGTATCTTAGTGCCACATCAGTGACCCTCCCGAGTGCCTGCGAGTAGTAGGGATAGAAGTCACAATTGCTACAACATGCAAAAGGACAGTGTCCTAGTCATCTAGTGCTGCTATAACAGAAATACCACAGGTGGATGGCTTTAACAAAGGGAAGTTTATTTCCTCACAGTAAAGTAGGCTAAAAGTCCAAATTCAGGGCGTCAGCCCCAGGGGAAGGCTTTCTCCCTCTGTCGGCCTTCTCATCAAACTTCCCCTGGACCAGGAGCTTCTCTGTGCAGGGACCCCAGGTTCAAAGGACGCGCTCTGCTCCCGGCACTGCTTTCTTGGTTGTATGAGGTCCCCTACTTGCTGCTTGCTTTCCTTTCCTTTTATCTCTTGTATGATAAAAGGTGGTGCAGGCCATACCCCAGGGAAGCTCCCTTTACATTGGATCAGGGATGTGACCTTACTAAGGGTGTTACAATCCCACCCTTAGCCTCTTTAACATAAAATTACCATCACAAAATGGAGGACAACCACACAATACTGGGAATCATGGCCCAGCCAAATTGATACACACATTTTTGGGGGAGCATAATACAATCCATGACAGGCAGTGAGTTGTCCTAAGTGCATTTTGCTGGGGTGAAGTAGGCAGACTCATTTTGTATGTGCGAGATATAGCTTCTGTTTAAAATGCTCTTTTGTACTGATGGGCAGTGTGGTCATTGGGTAGGTAGGTAGGTAAAACTTTGTCGTACAAAACTGGAGAAAACCTGTCAGGTAACAGGTAGCTGAACAGGTCTGGAATATTGAAGTTCTCGTTGATGACTAAGGTGTGTTGGCCAGTGTGTCAGATGGTGGAGACAAGCATTCATGTCAGAGTGTCACCTTTGCGAGGGTACCTACTACCGCCTGGATACTGCTGTGGCCTTGTTCAGTGGCAGGTTGGACATGCAAACCAGTGGGACTGACTGGGGGTGGGTGAGGATGCAGGAGTCTGTCAGGGTGTTTCTATGTAGTCACAAGGAGTCTCAGTTTGAAATGAACACTGTGGCAAGGTGGTGTCATTTGTGGCCTGTGTACACAGGATTTCCTGGCCAGATGTGGCTATCGAACCTCCTAGAGCAGAGCTTGTCAGGATTCTGCATGGCACCTCGGTGTGTGCCTGCAGCTCATGCCAGGTCTCTGGTTAGGTGTAGGCAGGAATGGGTGGCTTCAGAGTTTAATGCTGGATCATCTCCTGGAGCAGACCTCCCTCTGCTGTCCCTGGTTCTTGAGTCTGTCTGTGTTGCCGGTGGCCTAAGAAATTGAAAACAGATGATCTCAAAAGGTGGCCCATCTGGCTGAGTATGAACTGAGCTGCTGGGTTTTCCTCACTGTCATGAGCTGGCAGCTCCTTGAGGTGGGGTGTCTAGGCCCCAAATGGCAATTAGACCGCAGATCAAATTGAGCTGCAGGTCTTGGCTGGCCAAGCTTTTGGGAAATGTAGGCACTGAGGTAGAAACCACAGAAGCTGGGCTTCCTCTTGAGAGAGGGTAGGCCCCACCACACTGCTGGGAGCATTGATTTCAACGTAGTCCAGCCTCAGCACTACTTATTGCTGGGGGCCCGGGAAGGCCAGGATTAGGGTGGAGCTAAATAAGGGTGCAGCTAGTAGACTATTGCCTTCTTTTTTATTTTTTAAAATAATATTTTGTGGTGTTTTCAGTGAAAGTTTACATAGCAAATTATGTTCCCATTTAACAGTTCCCATACAGATTGTTCAGTGACATTGGTTGCATTTTTCACAGTGTGTCAACATTCTTATTATTTCTGTTGTAGTTGTTCCCATTTCCAGTGATCTAGCTTCCCTGCCTCCCTTAACTTCTCATCTTTGTGTTAGAGTTAATGTTGACTGTTTGGTCTCGTAGAGATGATCCTTTTTTTGAAGAAGCGTAGTACTCATGGCTGATAGTCTTTATTTTATGAGCCAGTCTGTTATTAACTGAAAGGAAACTTCTGGGTATAGTTTTGGTTCAAAGTTCAAAGAGCAGGAGTCTCAAGGGGTCTGCTAGTCTCAATCGGTCCAGTAAGTGTGGACTTTTTAAGAATTTGAGTTCTGTTACACGTTTTTCTCCCATTCTATCAAGATCCATCTGTTGTGGCCTTGATCAGAAAGGTCGGTAGTGTTAGTTGGGCACCATCTAGTTCTTCTGGTATCAGGGTAGACGAGGCTGTGGTTTGTGTAGGCTGTTAGTTCTATAGACTCCTTTCTTCTCTGAGTCTTTGGTTTCCTTCTGTCTCTTTTCTCCTGACGAGTAGAGATCAATACGGTAGTTGTATCTTAGATGACCACTCACAAGCTTTTAAGACCCCAGACACTACTCACCAAGTTAGGATGTAGAATAGGTTTTATGAACTATGTTACGCCAATTGACTGAGTTGTCTCGCGAGACTATGGCCCTAAGCCTTTTAGCCCAGTAAACTACTCCCATGAGGTGTTTGGTTATGTCTAAGAAGTATCTGTAACTGTGCCCCCATGTGCTTTATTATATATATGAATATGTACACATGTTCACATATACGTGAATATGCATATACATACAGGGGCACCTACGCATGCACACATATACCTACCGTACACATGTAAGCATACATACCTTCATCTGTAACCACATAAATATTTTTTGGTGATTGTTGCAAAATTGTATATGTTACAGCATTTTCCAAAAACATCCCTTATTCTTGTATACTCCTTAATAACATCATGATGTTGATCTGGCTGCGCACACGTCACCCACATTCGGCGTTACCTTTCCCATCACCAAAAATAACAAGTGTCTACTGTCTAGAGAGTGATTCCCCCTACCTCCCTACGGGCTTCTCTTTTCGGAGGTTGGTTACTGGGTAGTTACGGTAGAAAAGAGGTGACTACATCACCTGGCAAATACAGTGGTTCATAGTAATAGGAGGAGTATTAGTAGTAACAGTAAGTACTTGAAAAATATTACGTACCGGGAACTGCTCTGAGCACTTTACATGTAACATTACCTTGATCCCTGTGGCTAACTCAGTGAGAGAGGTATTCCTGTTATCCCCATTGTAAAGAAATGACGCTGAGTGCCAAGTGGGTCTATAATGTGCCCAGGGTCACACAGACCAGCAAATGACAGAGCAGAGCGTCAATCTCAGGTGCTCTGGCATAAGAGCTTAACCATCGCTATGCTTGTCCATTGTTGTGAAGGCACATCCTGAGAACTTTTTGTCTCTGGGGGTCTCAGACACACATTTCTTGAACTTGGTTTAGAGATAATAAAGTAAGAAACTAGTAACTCCCTGGAGCAATAGAGCATGGCTGTGGGAATCAGATCGGGGACTGTACATTAAGACCAAGAAATCATATCCAGGGCCAGAGAGTCAGATAGATTGCTAGAAAAGTGGCTAGGATGTTGCATAGGACAAGGCATCATGATGCATGCAGGTTGACCGGCAACCCTTTGGAAGACAGTCTTCCATTCATTACTTTCCCTGAAATGGAGGAGGTTGTGGTTGCCCTAGCGGCCTAAGTTCTTTAAGATTCACACTTTTTAAGAACCGTTTAAAATTGATTTGAGGCAGACCAGAGGGAGGGGAGTGATCTTAGATGGTGGAACCTTGGTACTAGTGCTCTGGGCAGAGGCCAAGTTCTCTATTCTTTACTTGGTGAGAGTCCCTACTTCCCTGCTGAGAGATGGTATCTCTGCGTTGTAGAAGGCTTGGACCTTAGTCTTCTAGAGGGTGTGCATTTACTCAGCAAGGATGAGAACCCCAGCTCCGTCACCAGAATGTGGGAGCAGTTGTGCTCGGGTGTCTGAACGCACTTTCCCGTAAGCTCAGTACGCACCAGGCATTGGGTATTAGGGGCACAGCCTGGGTGAAACCGTACCGTCCTGGTAGCAGATAAATCTGATGTGAAGCAGAGGGTGGGCTTTTTTCCAGGAGAGTGCTTACTTGTTAGTGCTGTGTT